AAAAACATCCACCACACACTTGGCTGGGGACCCCAACCCACGTGGGGACACCCCTGGGACCCAGCTCCAGGGCTTGGGGCTGCCCACCCCCCCCAGCACCCACCTCTCCACCTCCAGCCGGAGCTGCCCAGGGCTCTGCTTGATCTTGTTCTGGGCCTCCACGTGCAGCATCTCGGCCGTGCTCTCCCCGTTGATGGTGACAATGACATCCCCCGCCCGGAGATCACCCACGGCCGCCTTCCCGTGCTCCACCACCTTCATGGAGAAGAAGGGGGACGTGGGGACAGCCCCAGTGAGCCCCCCCACACACACCCCCCCACACGCAGCCCTTGCGCCAAGGTCCACGTCGACTCCTGAATCCCAGTGGCTCCCACCCGCTGGAATCCCCACGGCCTGGACGAGAACAGCACCAGACCCTCTGCCAGGGTGGGAGCACGGCCCTGGAAACAACACCCGGAAGCTTGGCCTGGCCCTGCCCAGCCCGGGGGTGGCACGGGGCCCCTGCGCCGCCGTCGCCAGCCGTGGGCCGTTCCCACGGAGCGGGATCCCCCAAGGACAAGCAAACAGGATCCTCTCCCCGGAGCAGCCCAGCACGGCACCCGCCCGGCAGCCTTCCCCCGGCCCGGGGGGCACGTGGTGGTGGTGGTTGGGGGGGTCCTACCTTGGAGACAGTGATGGGCTTCCCGAAATCTCGTCCCCCGGAGATGCGGAAGCCCCACGGGGCCGGGCCGGGCAGGGTCACGGTCACTGGCATGGCAGCGGGTGGCTCTGGGCGGGCAGGAGGGCGCTGTCAGGGATCCCAGGCACCCGGGCAGAGGGGACTCCCCTCCTCCCACCCACAGCCCACCCAGCGGCAGCCTCCCTGTCCCGGCTGCACCCCGAGCAGGGGGTGATGGAAACCGGCAGCGCTTTCCTTCCGGGGAGGGGACCCGCGTCCCTGCGGGGTGTCAGCAGCCACTGCCGCTTCCTCTTGCTGCCCCAAGGCTGGTGGCTTCCTCCCCCCGGAGCACGGGGGTCCCAGGCAGCCGTTGGCGCAGCTGAGGCAGCCAAGGTCGTTCCCAGGGGCTGGAGCGAGGCAGGGAATCAGCGACGCGTTGGCAGCAAGGCCAATCCCGCAGGGCGGCAGGGCCAAGCCAGCGGGTTTGGAGGGGAGGATGTGGTGATCCTGCTGCTCACCACGGGGGGGGTCTGGCACCCGGCGAGGACCACCACCCCGAGTCCTTCATCCTGCAGCCAATCCAGACCAGTAAAAGGTCCCATGGCACCCCGGGGAGAGCAGCAGCTCCTGGTTTCGAGGGGATGGGTGGGAATGTGCAGCCCCGTCCCCTAAATCCCCACCAGATCCCATCCCATCCCGCCACAGCCTGGCCGAGCTCCGCAGAGCCCGAGGAGAGCTGGATATCCCGTCTGCAACCGGGCATCTCATCCGGAACCGGGCACCTCATCCGCAGCCGCCGGGAAGGCATGTTAAAAATCCCAAGCGCACAAAGAGGGGCTTGAGAGGCTGTCCGGAAGAATTTCCTGGGCTGGGCTTCGAGTGCCGGGAGGAAACCCCAAACCCAAACCCCCCTCCCCATGCCCGGCCCCGCTCAGCATCCCTGGGCAGCGAGGGCTGCCGGCCTGGGGACCCCCACACCCGGCTGGGCACCAACCCCAGACCCCCGAAGGGTCCTGCACCTCTTCTCCAGCCCCCGCACCCCTCCTTCATGTCCCGCACCCCTTCTCCATCCCCTGCTCCCCTCCTCTGTCCCCCGCTCCCCTTTCGGTCCCCCGACCCCCACCTGTGTCCCCGCTCCCTCCCGGCTCTGTCCCCGTCGCACAGCGACGTCTTTGTGCCCGCGGCGACTGGCGGTGCCGCCTGGCACCCGCGGGGCGAGCGGCGGGGACGGGCGATGCCAGAGGTGGCGAGGGGACGTGGGGCTCTGGGGACGTGGGGACACAGGGACGTGGGGATTTGGGCTATGGGGACACTGGGATTTGGGGGACGTGAACACCTGGGGACGTGGGGGGACAGGCGGCCCGCAGCCCCCCTCCCCTGCGCGGCGGAGCAGCATCCGCGGGACCCCCGGGCACCGCGACCCCCGAAGGAAGGGCACCCCCGACAACCGCAGCGGGCGCTCGCCGGTCCCCCCGCACCCCGCGGTGCCCCCCAAGCCCCCCGTGCCCCCCGCACCGCCGGTACCCCCCGCACTCACCGGGGCGGCCGAGCCGGGCGGCCCCGCGGGGCTGCGGAGCCGAGCGCGGCCCCGGGACGGCGCCGCCTCCTCGGG